GGGGGGGGGGAGGAAGCATGCAGTGAGCTGAACCCACTTTGTAGAAAGACGGCAAGACAGGAGGGGGGGGGGGTGCTGCGCAGGGGGCTTCTGAAGGCCTGCAGGGCAAAGGCTGCGCTTGCAGGATCCGACCCTGGGCCTCTGAGCCGAGGGAGGGAGGGAGGGTCTTTGGAGACCCCCGCCTCAAAGAGGAGGCAGGCAGGCAGGCAGGCAACCCCCAAGCAGCCACAGGGAAGCCTGCCCCTTCCCCAATCCTGCCTGCCTGCAGAGAGGCCCAGCCTGCTCCCAGCATGCAAGGAACAGCAGCGGTGGGAGGGGCAGTGGCGCCCCTCTCCTCCCCCAAACACGGCCAGGCAGCCCCCCCCCCCCCCCCCACGCTCCCAGCAAGTAACGCTTCCGGTGCCTGGACGCCCTAGCGCCCCCCCCCCCCCGCCCCTTGGGCCCACGAGGAGAGCATCCCCCCCCTCAGCCAGGCCCAGAGCGGCCCTCCCTTCCCTGCTGCCAGGCCCCCAAGGGGCAAGGCCACCTGCTGAGGAGGGGGCCCTGCATTTGGCCCCCCCCCCCCCCCCCTTTTTCCCCCCCCGGCGTCGCCCCCCCCCCCCCGGCCGGGGCCCCCCTGGCCCACCCCCCCCCCAAGGCCCCCTGCCCCCCAGCGCCCTTCTGCCCACACGGCAGAGCAGGGGGCGGAGAGGCCAGCCTCACCCCTTCAGCCCCAGGTTGGAAGGACTCTCCACGCAGGAACCCCCCTGCCAGCCACAGCCACTTTGCAAGGGGGCGAGACGGGCAAGGAAGAGGCCGCCCAGGGGGGAGGGAGCCCCTCGGGGGTCTCGCAAGGGAGGCTGCAAGAGAGCCGTGGGCAGGGAGGGTCTTTGGGGGCAAGCAGCTGGGCCGAGGGGGGGGGTTCACGCCCGGGGGGGGGGGGGGGGACCCGGGGCCTGCTGGGGGCTGTTTTCCTGCCCCTCCCTGAAAAGCTCGCCTGAGCCCAAGAGAAGCCAGGAGTGCCACTCTGACCCCCTCAGTGCCCATGACCAGCCTGGCTCTGAGGCCCCGCAGAGGACCCCACGCGGCCACGGGCAGAGCTCCAAACGGGCTGGAGCTCCAGAGATTTCGAGGCCCCCTGAAATACTGCAGCGCCTTCCTTCCTGGCGGGTGAGGAACAGCCTCCTGGGCACAAGTGGGTCCCCTCTCCCGGGCAGCCCAACAGGGGCCCTCCTCTCGGAAGGGGGGAGAGGGGCTTAGGGGTTTCTGCATGGGGGGAGAGCCCCCTCCCCCCCCCCCCCGGGGGCCCTCGGGCCGCGCCCCCCCTTCCCCGGGGGCCCGCGGGGGGAGAAAAAGGTCCCCCCACCCCCCCCCCCCCCCCCCGCCAGACCCTGGCTGCCCAGGATTTAGGAGACTGACAAGGGAAACGATGCCGCCTCTTTTCACCCCACCCCACAGCCAAACAAAGCCCCTCCTCAATTCAGTAGTACAATATGGTGATGCAGAGCAGCTCTGCCGGAGATGGGTCCCAGCGTCCCCTTGGGGGCCCACGTCACCAGGTGGCCAAGAGGAGTCCTTGAGGAAGGCTCCGGACTGCTGGCTGAACTCCCCCCAGGAAGCAGGGCTTGGTGGGGGGGGGTCTCAAAGCCCCCCCTTTTGCACGCAGGTCTCCTCTGCTTTGTGGGGCTGGCTGGGGATGGTGGCTCTTCCCCCCCCTTTCTCTCTTCACGAAGGAGTCCGGCTCCGGCTCGCTCATCTCATCCGGTTCTGCCGCATCAGGGGCACGATGCAGGAGGGGGACCCGGCTTTGCCCACGAAGGGGTGCTTCAGGAGCTCGTTGGCCGTGGCTCTTTGGGCTGGGTCTCTGACCAGCAGCCGGTCCAGGAAGCCCTTCAAGGAAGGAGAAACCTGCCGGGGGGAGGAAGAGCGTGGTGAGCCAGGGCTGGAAGAGGGAGGGAGGGAGGGAGGGAGGCAGCAGCCCAAGAAGCCATGAATTGGGTGGTCCCAAGCCCCCAGGTCGTAAAGTCGCCATAGACGCCCAGCCCTGAACCGCAATGTGGGCCTGGCCTCGGTGAGCAGGAGGCGGCCATAGCCGTGAGGGGGGGAGGCCAGGCCGAGGCCATCAGGGGTGCTGGTGCCATCAGGGATGGACGGCAATTAGATTACCCTCACTGGGCTGAAGAAGAGCTGGCGGCAGAAGCCACCCTGGATGACGTGGGAGGCGCCTGAGCCCAAAATGGCAGGACATGGCAATGGGGGGGCTCGAAACCCTCTAGGAGCTGCCCTCTCGCTCCGCTGGGTGAGGCCGAGAGCCGGAGGGGGTCTTACCTTGTGCACATTTTTCAGTTTGGGGGGCAGGTTGTCTCGGATCATCTTCATGGCCTTCAGGGGGGGCTCATTGAAATAGGGAGGCTCCCCGTCCACCATCTCGATCACCATCACCCCCAGGGACCAGACGTCCACCTGCAACGACAGAAGGGCCATCGGGAGGCATGGCGGTAGCAGGGGAGGGGGGGGCTCAGGGAGGTCCGGGGGTCCAGAGCGGCTTATTTCCTCTTATAAGCTGCACTGTCCAGGCCTAGCCGAGGGAGGGAGGGGCTCTATTCTCTCTCAGGTAGCAGCCATTTCCTTTTCTCAGGTGGATTTTACAGCGTGCAGGTTGAGTTAACTGCGGCAGAAATTTTTTAAAAAAAAGGCATTGGTGAGAGAGAGACATTCAAACACCCCTCGTATCTGGAAGCCCATTTCATCCCCACCGCTGACCAAAGGGCTGGGTTGTGGCCGAACTCCAGGGAGGTGGAGGGCAGCCACCCAGAAACACTCCCTTGATCTCCAGTTTTAGGATTTGAGGGATAAACTCTGCGCTTTTAAGGTTTTCTGGGAAAAGCCGGCAGAATCTGGGGCTCCCCCCTGCAAATGGGCCCCCAAGCCACACCTAGCTTAGCTACTTAGCACATGCACAAGCACACTGGTTGGCGCAAAGCCTCCCGGAGAGGAGGGGGCCTCCGTAGGCTCTCCCCCTTACTCACCTCTGGCCCGTAGGGCAGCCGAGAGATGAGCTCTGGGGCCATCCAGTAGGGGGTCCCCACCAGCGACTTCCGCCTCGGCACCTCCTTGTTCACTTGCGCACAGAATCCAAAATCGGAGAGTTTGACCTGAAGGGGGGAAGGCAGCCGTGAGGGTCTCTGCAGGGTGGCCGAATGGCTCCCCCCCCCCATCTCCTCAGCTCCGTTTCTTCCATACGGAATTTAAAAATCGAGGGGGGGCAAACGAAAGAGCCGTAATACAGGTAGTCCTCAACTTATGGCCACAATGGAGCCCAGAGTTTTCTGCTGCTAAGCAAGAAAACTTTGTTGTTTAGTGAGCTTTGCCCCAACTGAGCCCCATTCTTGCCCCAGGGGGTGAGTGAATCCCTGCAGTTGTTAAGGGACTCTGGCTTCTCGCATGGACTTTGCTTCTCAGGAGGTCGCCAGGGGGGATCACGTGACCGTCGTAAACAAGAGTCACTTGCCAAGCGCCTGAGCTTTGATCACGTGACCATGGGGGGAGGCTGCAATGGTTGTAAGCGTGAGAAACGGTCATGTCACTTTTTTCAGTGCCCTTGTAACTTTGAACGGTCTCTAAATGGACTTGTCATGCCCTTGGTAGAGTCGGACTCTGAGGGAGAGGAGGAACAGCCGACAGGGAGTGGAGGGTGTGGAGGAGGCTGGGGAAGGGCAGAGGCCGGCTGGGCAGTCAGAGGAAGAACCAGGCCCATCCCCTCTTCATCCTGGGGCACGCAGGGAGGAATGAAGAAGGAAACAACTTGGCTTTACGAGAGAGGAAGTGGCCATGATCCCACTCATTGGTTGCAGCTGGGGAGAATAGTATGTAAGAGAGATGGTTACAACACAGCGTTGCCAGAAGCAAAGCGTGTTTTATTTTGGGCTGAAGTTATCTTTTTTTGGGGGGGGGGGGGGGGGGGGGGGGTGGCTGAAGTTATCTTGGTTGGCATCCTTCCAACAGACTGTGCCTTGTTATCTCCTTGAAGTTGGTCATTACTTATCCTGGTCCATGTGGAAATTTTGTCATTGTAGTTTGTTTGGTTTTTTATTTCACCTCTATCCGCTCATTAAATTCAGACTGTATTGCTTTATTTGGAAGACTATTTCTGAGTACTTTTTATTTCCAACTGAGAACAGTGGGGCCAAGTTGGAGGCATTTAAAGGACATTTATTTACGTTTTGGATTTTGTAACGTTTGTGTTACACATCACAGGGCTGTTGTAATTCGAGGACAACAAATTGCAATTTTTTTTTTTTTTTTTTGCAATCCGTCAATTCCGTTCCACGCAGGCCGGCCGGCCGGCTCCAGGGCTGGCTGGCTTCCTTCCTTCTCCCCCTGCCTCCCTGGTGAGAAAGCAGTCAGGATTATGTTCCAGGCCTGGATAAAAGCAGAGGATTTTCTTCAGGAGGGGGGGAGACTAGCTGTCCCTCCTCCTCAAGATGTGGCTTCAACCTTTTCACCTTGGCGGCTGCTTGTTTAGCTTTATTCCAATTCCTGAGCCTCAAATATTTGTGCACTGTAGACACACACACACACAAACACCCCACATCAGCTTGGCTTTTCGGTTTCCAGGCACCAGGCCGACCTGTGTACAGGCCACAGAACTTCTATTTCCCCAACGCTGGCAGAGACCCCCTTCAATTTGACTTAGGGCTCCCCAGTGGAGAGGAAAGGGGTTTACCTCCCTGGCACTTTTCAGACCTCTGGACTTCAAAGCTGGCTGGGGGATTCTGGGAGTCAACGTCCACAAGCCTGAAAGTGGTCAAGGTTGGGGACCCCTGCTCTAAAACACGTCCTCAAGGACTATCCAAGGACCCCTGAAGGGGTGCCGCAGCGGGGAGTGGCCGGGATTTCCTCCCCAGGATTTGCAGGCCCCCTTTGAGGAATTTGGGTGCCAAGAGGCCATGCGGCTTGGGGAGCAAGGAGGAGGAGGAGGAAGAGGAGGGGCTGGTCCTTTGGGCCTTCCGGCAACTCACCCGCCCGTCGTGGGTGAGCAGGATGGAGTCGCTCTTGATGTCCCGGTGGATGACGCCCTGGGCGTGGAGCACGGAAAGGGCCTTCAGCACAGAGAGGCAGACGGCGGCGATCTGCTCTTCGTTCATCCTTCAAGCAAGAAGAAAACAAGAAGGCACTGATCCTGCGCGGGGGGGTTTCCCATTCTTTATTTTATCCCAAAAGACGTGAAAATAAAAGACGCCAAAAATGTTTTTAAAGACACCAAGAAAGGACACAAAACAAACAAGAAATTTAAAAAGGTGCATTAAAACCAGCAACAGCAAAAGCACATATTGTTCCTCCTGTTGAATACTGATCAATTTATAGGTAGCCCTCGACTTAGGACCACAAAAATTAAGCCCAAGGCTTCTGTTGCTAAGTGAGACAGTCGTTAAGTGAGTCTTGCCCCATTTTACGCTCTTTCTTGCCACAGTTGCTAAACCACTGCAGTTGTTGAGTTATTAAGATGGCCGTTAAGTGAATCCGACGTCCCCGTTGACTCGTTTGTGCTGAGGTCGCAAAAGGGGGTCAGGTGACCCCCAAGGGGCCGCTGCAACCATCCTAAGTCTGAGTCAGGCGTCAAACACCTGGATTTTGATCAGGTGATCATGGGGAGGCTGCAAAGGTCGTGACTTTGAAAAATTGTCATGAGACCCTTTTTTCAGTGCTTTTGCAACAGTCACTAAACGAACTGTTGAAAGTCGAGGACTTCCTGTGCTAGAAGAGTATTAGCAGGCCCTGATCCTTCGGGTCCGGTTCTCGGCCTGGAAGGAAGGGGCCGATTCGGCACCATGCGCAGACACGGCCGGCCCCAAGGCGCAGAGTGTCCTGGTGCGGCTCACCTCTGCCAAGGGAGGGGGGCAGCCCTCCCCTCTTACCTGGTGTGGGTGACAATGTCGGTCAAAGCGCCCCCCTCCAGGAACTCCATCACGACCCAGAGCTCATCGCCCACCAGGTAGCTGTTGTACATCTCCACCACGTTCTCGTGCTGGTAGTCCCTCATGATCACCACCTGAGGGAGAAAGGCAGGTTGGAAGGAAAGAAGGAAGGCCGCACATTAGGGGGGGAGGGGGGGATGCGGTGCCTCAAATGAGAGGCTGCTGACCTGGCCCAGGTGAGACGTGTGACCTAAATGCCTAGAGCGGGCAGAGAGTTCGGGACGCACCAACAGACTCTGTGCCCTGCAGGGGTAGAGGGAGATATCCGCAGACCCCTCCTCTCCTGGACGTCAACTATTTCAACGCCTCCCCTCAGGACGCCGCTATAGGGCAACGCAGGCCCAAACAAGGAGGCTGCTGACCAGCTAAGCCTCACGGTGCTGCCTTAACTCTGAGGAGATTTGCCCTCGTCTAGTAGGGCTGTGGTGTTGTTCTTATCCTTCGGGTCTCCTCTACTCCCTCCTCTTGTCAGTCTCATTAGTACGATTATTACTCTGTTGCTTTGCTTGTACACCCAGAGCTTCCGCACCGGAGACCAATTCCTCGTGCGTCTAACCACATGTGGCCAAATAGAGTACTTCATCCAATTGAAGCCATGTCTCTGGAGGTTCTCTGTCATCCAGGCCGCGGTTGCCTCAAAAGGCGTTTTCTCAAAAAGCACCTTTGTTTTAAGGCCTTTCACTTCTCCCCCAAGAAGCTTCTTCCCCTCTGACGGAATTTCCGCCATTTGGGGCGTCATGGTTCCCCCCACCATTCAGTCAGAACCAAGGAAGCTTCTTGGAGGGGAAGCAAAAGGCCTTCCAGGGAAAGAGCGCAGGAGGCCCCGCCGGGTCGATCCAACCCACCTCGTTGAAGAGCAGCTCCCGCCTCTGCTGCTTGCGCAGGTCCATCTTCTTGACCGCCACCAGCTTGCCGGAGCTCTTGACGGTGGCGATGCAGACGATGCCCGTGGAGCCCTCGCCGATCTTGATGAAGTTGTCCAAGTAGGTCCGGGGGTCTCCGGGGTCCACCACCATCTGCAAGGCCGCTCGGAACTGTTCGTGGGAGACCCTCTGGGGCTCCCGCTGGGGGGAGCAGGGCTGCTGGGGAGGGGGCTGCGGAGGCTGGGGGGCCGGCGCTGAGGGCACCTGGGTCAGGTGGGGCTCTGAAGCGTGCTGGGAGAGCCCCGGAGGGGAGGGCTCCAGGTTGCGGGATCTGGCCGGGCCGGAAGGAGGGGGGGCCCTGGAGGGGCCGCTGTTCCCACTCATGGGGCCGTTGGAGGCGGCTTCTGGGGCTTTCCCGGCCCGATGCTCGGCCTAGAAAGAGAAGGGAAAGCCATCCTGAGCCCTCGCCGGGCAGCCAGAGGGGATCCCGCAGGTTCCCCCAACTCCCCACGAAGCCTGCGGGCCTTTCCCTCCCCACGCAGGAGGAACCCCTGCTCCTTTGCAAAGCACAGGGGCCGGGCCGTCTCCGAGCAGGGGGGCGGGCAGGGGTCCCCAACCGTGGCGACTTTATGACTTGTGGACTTGGCAGCTTTGCTGGCTGGGGAATTCTGGGAGTGGAAGCCCACAAGCCGTCAAGCTCTAGAGGCTCGTGGGAGCCTTCCCTCCTTAGGGCCACAAAGAGTGTTGAGCCCAGCTGTGTGCTGCTTACTCTCCCCACCCCCTGCAGCCTTGTCCTTCCCTCGGGGTCAGGCAGGACCTCCTAGAGCCCTTCTGGGAAGCCTCCTTTCCCCCCGCGGATGTCCAGGAGTGGACTTGGGGAGCCCATTCAGGTAAGCTGAGGGCCAGGCCCTTCCAAAGGGCTGAGTCCCCCCGAGGAAGCCAGGTCAGCGAGTGGGAGGGTCAAGGAGCACGGCTTCCTCGGGGAACAGCGGGAAAGGCTGCCGCCGGGGCAGCTACACGAGTAGCTCATGGAAACTGAGTTTTACGGCTGATTTCTGGTCCTATCGTAAGAGAAGGCAGAGGAAAGAGTTGGGTGGCAGAGGCAGAAGGCAAAACAGTTTGATGGTTTCCACAATAACACGAGAGGTCATGGCGCAGCTGCAGAGTTTCTACGAAGATAGACAGAGAAGTTGCTACCCAGGAGGAGAAAGTGGCAGCAGACGGTGGGTTACTCGCACGAAGAGGAGAGGAGACCAAGCAGATGGCAGACGACAAGGTGGACGACACAGAAGGGACTCCGGTTAGTGGAAGCAAGGAAGGCAGGAGCGCGCCCAGGAAAGGTAGGCAGGAAGGAAGGAAGGCAGGCACCAGCCGCAGTCGATGGGAGGCCAGAAGGCGAGGGAGAACTACGGAGCAGAAGAAGGTGAGGAGAGAACCCAGGAGAGGTGCAGAACGGAGCAGGGAGGAGGAGCGGGCTCTGCTCTGGCCAGCAGGGGGGTCCAACTGATGCAGAGAAGGCGCTTGGAGCTCACTGCCTGGTCAACCGGCGAGGCTACGCTGAGGTGGTGGCTTAAAGGAGGTGAAAGGTGGCCTTTCTCAGGGTGGACGAGCTCAGGTGTCACGAGAGCGGCATCTCCAGCGGAAGGATCCAGGCTGGCCAGACCCACAAGGGCCTCAAGCTCTGAGACGCCCTGGGAAGTTTTACCTGAGTGCCACGGACAAGGTCGGTGTCTGCGCGTGGGTAGGTGTTAAAAGGCCGTCCCGTCTGCTGCGCGGTCTTCATCACCCCCTCCGAGATGGGGATATTCGGGGTCCGGATATTGGGGCCAGAGAGGGGCCGCTTTTCCCGGGGGGGCTGCGGGCTGGGCTGGCCAGTGTAGGTGGACTTGGGTCTCTTGTCGGGCCCCTCCGTCCGCTCCCTCTTGACCACGCGCTCGGCAGGGGGCTCCCTCTTCCTGTCCCGTTCGGGCGCTCGGTGACCATGCTCCGGCAAGGGCTTCGGGTGCTCTGGAGGCCGGGGAGGGCCAGACTGCTGGTGAGGCTTGTGGTGAGGCTCGTGTCCACGGGAGTGTGGCGCGGCAGTCCTGTCGTCCCAGCCCCTTTCCCCATCGTTCTTGGGCCCGTGGCGGTTCCGCTCCTTGGGGTCTCTGCTCTTGCTGCCCCCGCCATCCTCCTCCGTGTGGGGAGGGTGCTGGTGGTGGTGGTGGTGGTGGCGGGGCCTGCCCAGCGCTTCCCCCAGGCCGTTCTCCTGGTAAAAGGGGTCGTGCCGGGGCGGGAACGGAGGGCTGTCCCTGCGCAGCGAGTTGGAGCGCGACACCGACATGTTCTCAAACTCATCAAGCAGCCAGGCCAGGGAACCGTCCTTGGCAGCTTTGTTTCCGCGCACGATGGTCTTACGCGCATGGAAGGGAACATGGAGCAGGCAGGTGGTGGGAGGAGGGAGAAGAAGACACACAAACAGAAAAGAAAATAAGGTAAGCAACATAAAAATAATAATAAGATGCTTGATGGATGCTTGATGACGACCCGAGACAATTTCAGCTTTGGCGGAAGAAGCACACGGCAGCAGGCATGGCGGGGAGACCGCAGGAGGAGGGGCAACGGGGGTGCCACAGAGCCCTTCGCCCGCTTTCGCCATCCACACGGAGACGCTTTTTAGAAAATATATGAGGGATGATGATGACGAATGCCAGGAATGCTGGATTTGGAAGGCAACGACTGAAGGGCGGCCTCCCCACCTTCCCCCCAACCAGGTCAGCCAGGCGCTCCCCGGTGTTCAGCCAGCAAAAACCAAGTTGCTCAGACAACTGTAAGTGGGGAAGGTCGTCTTTGTCCTCCCGGCTCCGCAGCCAAGTCTTCAGATGACCCCACCAGCCAGTGGGATGGACCAGCCCGTGGCAGCCTCTAAGGCGTTTCAGGAGGAAGGACCTCCTGCCAGGCCAGCCCTTTGGGGCGGGGGTCCCTCTAATGCTTCCCTAAGCAAATCATTACAGACCCCCAGGCCCCAGCTGGCGAGAAAGGCCCTACCTCATCTCATCCCCAGGAAGTCAGCTTGTTCTAGTCAAGTGGCCCAGTTTGGGGTCTCCAAACTGGGCCACCTTAAGACTCCTGGACCAGCTCCCAGAATTCCTCAGCCGGCACAGCTGGGAGTTGAGGTCCTCGAGTCTCCCAGTTTGGAGACCCCCAACTCCAGAAGGGGGGAGAGGGCTGTTCCTCCCAGAAAGGGGGGCCAGGGGTCAGGGGAAGCAGCCGAGGGCTTCATCCCCTTTTCTGCAGAAATAAACAGGCGGGAGGAGCTGAGTAGGGAGGAGTGGTGCTCCTGCCTCGCAGTCCCTCCCTCTCCAGCATGGGTGGGCCGAATGAGTCCCCTTCGGCCAAGAGCTGCTCTTGAGTCCAGCCCACGCAATGCAAAGCTCCGCAATGGAGACTTCCAGGGGCCAGAAGTCTCGTGTCCAGTGCAGCTGGAAAGAGCAGGCCAAGGCTTCCCAGAGGCCAGCGGTGGCCACAAGTGGAGGTGAACTCCTGCCCAGCAGGAAAAGGAAACAGCTGGCCAAACGATGCCCAAATTCTGGATAGGGAAACAGGGAGTCCTTGACTTACCACAACTGAGCCCCAAATTTCTACTATTAAGTGAGACGGCTACGTGAGGCTTGCCCCATTTAACGACCAGTCTTGACACAGTTGTTCAGTGAATCACTGCAGTTGTTAAGCTAGCAACACAGCTGTTAAGGGAATCTGGCTTCCCCACGGACCCTGCTGGTCAGAAGGTCGCAAAAGGGGATCACGTGACCCCAGGACGCGGCAACTGTCATAAATATGCGTCAGTCGCTAAGCGCCTGAATCTTGATCCCCTGACCATCAGTGAAAAGTGGTCGTAAGTCCCTTTTCTCAGTGCTGTTGTAACTTCGAACAGCCCCTAAGCGAATGGCTGTAAGCCAAGGACTGCCTGTGGTCCTAATCAGAGCTTGGGCGAACTGCCCTGACCAGCACAGCACGGGGGCAAATGGGCCTGCCAGTCCCGGGAGAAAGGGGGCCAGTCCAGGCTGGGGGGAGCCGAGGGTCACAGGCTGTCGTCCCCCCCGCCCCCCAGCCCACTCCAGAGGGGCATCGATCCCCAAAGGGAGCCATGCAGAGCCATCCCCAGATCTGGACTCGGCGTTTCTCCCGGCCATGAAAGGAGACCCCGAAGGACCCTCCTCCCTGGCTGGGACCGGAAGGAAGGCCCACTTAACCACGGAGAGCGGACAGGGGAAGGGGGGCGCCCAGCCACAGCGGCTAGCAGGGATTCCTGGGAACGGCTTGTGGACCCTGTGAGATTTGTGGCTCCGAGTGACCTTCCAAAGCGCCTCCTCACAAGTCGGACGCGTGTGGCAGGCGTGCCAAGACCACCCGGGGGGCCTCTCCCCACCACAGCGACCTCGCCCTCCCGGACAATTCAGCCGGTCTCCAACAGAAACAACCCAACCCTGCAAAATGCTACAGAGAGCAGCAGGGAGCCGGCTTGAGTTCTCTAACCGACCGTTTGTTTTGGACAAATCCCACCAAACCCCGGTCTCCGGTTCTCTGCAGGCTCCCTGCCCAGGGAACTGCATAGCCCACCCCACCCCCGTGCTGGGTGGGGTTGAGAGGTAGAAGGGGCCGGGGTCTTCTGTACCGGGGGAAGGGGGGAGAGTCCTCCACCCACACGGGCCTTTCTGGCTGAGGGGTTCCCTGCCACCGCAGCCTTCCTTTGGGGGCGGAGGAAACACCGCACAGGGAGGCTCTGTGTGGCAGGACCAGGACCTTCTGGACCCCAGTCGAGTCACTCTTGGCTCCCATGGAAGGAACAACCTAGCCCAGAAGCCACTCCCCCTCCTCTCAGGGGCTGGGCTTGCCACCCTGCCACGCCTGGCCTGGGGCACCCCCAGCCCCTGCCAGACGGAGGAGGCCAGGAGCTTGGCAAGACCAACCCTTGCCCCGGTTTCTCCCTCTGCAGAGGCCGTCTATAGCCAGGCACCCCACGCAGCTCCCTTGCCAGCCCAGCACCAGGTGGGCATGGCCACCTGGCCTCCTTCAGATTGGAAGGTGGGAACGATGTGACCCGTTTCCAAAATACACCATGCATGTTTTCCAGTCAAACCTGCAACTGGGGTCTATTTGTCTCCCCGAAATAATAAATTTGCTCTTGTTGGGGTCCCAAAGCTGGCTGGAACCTGGAAGCTGGTAAACCTGCTACTCACAGATGCACCCAGCTCCCCCAATTATTTGGCCAGATCCTCAGACAAATAGCACCCATCCTCTGCCATGCCTTGCCAGGCTCCTTATGTTCAAGGAAGCCTATCCACGTGGCCAAGAGGAGAACAGAGAAATGGGTACAGGTGGTCCTTGACTTAGAACCATTCATGAGCTAAGCCCCATGACCCCTCTGAAAAGCCACGGCCTGGGTCTCCGGGGCTAACTCAAGGGTGGGCACCCTGGCTTGGCTGCTGTGCCGAGATCCAGATCATGGCAGCTGGGCAGGCCTCGCATTTCCAATGTCAGAGCTGCAGACCCTGGAGAAGTGGACAGACCATCTGCTGCGTGACAGACCATCTCTTATTGCTTGTGAAAACTGAACTCGCAGCCTCGGGAACTCTGCCTGAAACCAAGTGGCAGTTCAGGAACAAACAAAGCTTCGTTTATACTTTCTCAGGCCTCACATTACACGCCAAGAACTCAAGGTCTGCGACTCCGGTTCCTTCCTTCGGGTCTAAGCTCCACAAGAGACCAAGAGCCTCAGTAGCGCTAATTAAGTCTCAGCCTTCAACCGGTCGCATACGCTGAAGGTCTCTGGATATTCTCAGCCACCCAGGTGATGGTTGTCCCAAAGGTGCACAACTGGACTTTCTGTGTTTTTTTTCCTCTTGGTTTCGCTTCTCACCCAAGAAGCTTCTTCCGTTTTGACTGAACCCCTCCATCCATCCATCCAGAACTGAGGAAGCTTCTTGGATGAGAAGTGAAACCAAGAGAAAAAAAAAACAACACACACACAGAGAGAAAGTCCAGTTGCCTCTTGAAAAAGCGCCCTTGGGACATCACATCAGCTTCTCTAAAGCCCAACTTCTCTCCTCTGACACCGCTTCCACCTCCGCCGCAAGGGGCCGCCAGGTGAGAGCCCAACGCAGGGGCCACCAACCTTCTGGGAGCCGGGCTGGACGGCTGTAATGTACACGGGGTCCACCAGTGGCTTTGGCCGCTTGGCCGACTCCTCGATGATGCCCTGCCATTGCCTGGGCAGCCCCGTGAACTTCTGCTCGTGCTGGTCGTAGCCCGTGTGGACCCGGTGTTCGAAGTTGGAGGGGGCCGAGATCTCGATGCGTTTCTTCTTTTTGGTGAACATGGTGATGTTGGCTAGCAGACCTACAAGGAGAAAGAGGGAGGGGGTTGTTTTTGTTTTGTTTTTTCAAAAAAAGATGTCAATGGAGTAAATCTTCTTGTGAATCAGTCGCTCCACAGCCTGCATGGAAAAGCCCCCCCACCTACACCCTGTGTTCCCGCACAAAAGGTCTGCGGCATCCTAGCGAGTGTGTCAGCCGCCTGTGAGATCACGGCTCCCTCCTTGCCAGGGGCTCAGGGCCCCAGTCTGCGGGGCGGACAGGGTGAACATACGGACTGCAGAGGGTTCATCAACGGGAGGCCAATTCAAACCTCCAGAACGGCCGTGAAAGGCACAGCTTCCCTGGTCCGGCCTGCGGGGTTCTCCAAAAAGGGCAGATTACCCCCTCAGCCTTTCCAGCTTCCTCTGGGTGGCTGGACTGAACTGGGAAGGGGTAACCGGAGAAGCTCAGATCAGGGAAGGCTGGCTTAAAAGAGGGAGGGCGTAGAAGGGCTCCTGTGTTACGCTGCTGTGCTTCTTAGAAACATCCCTTGGCTGGAGGGGCTTCGGCTGCTCAACTTTGATGACCCTGTTTTCCCAGCTCAGCAACGCCAGAGGAAGCCCCCCCCCCCCCCCCCCCCCCCCCCCCCCCCCCCCCCCCCCCCCCCCCCCCCCCCCGAGGGGGGGGCGGGGGGGCGGGGGATGGGCAGTCTGGTGGCTTCCTTCTCCCAGGGAGCCTCCAGTTGATCTCATTTCAGTCCCAGCCCTGGGGATCCCAAAGGCATCCCTGGGATCAGCTGCAGCCCAGAGACCTGGCTCTCTGCTGCACGTCTTGCCAATCTGGTTGGACCAGTCCTTTCGTCAGCATCCCCGCCCCGTTCCGTTTGCCCAACTGGGCCAGCAGGCTCCCTTGACCAAGGCAGGGAAGGCGGCCAAGCCAAACCAGGCAGCGGTTCAGAAAAGAGCAGCCGTGAATCGTGTCGCCATTTTTGTCAGGGCGGAGAAAGATTAGGCGGAGATTTAGACAATTAGGTTTCTCAGGAAGCGTAAAATTAGCATTAGAAAAAAACCTGGACAGCAAAAAACTTGGGTCCAAAGAGCCTTCCTCTGGTTCGAGGGGCACCAGGCCTGCTCATACCAGGAAACGGTACAGAAGGAAGAAGCGAGAGTGAGAAATTGAGGAGCACAAAAGTGTTTTCATTTTGGTCACGTCACTTCTATCCAGTGGGCTCTCCTGAACTGCTTCGGCTGCAGCAAGACAGCCAACATATAGGAGTGGAAGGGAAACCCAGAGGAATCTAGACTCCCACTGCCAATCAAAGAGGCGGCCTTGGTGGGTCTCTCTTCCTTCCCCCCTTTCCAACCTGCTCTGCAGCCGAGCAGCTCAGAAGCCTGGCTCTTAATCTGACCAATCAAATGCACATCACGGACACTCAGGTACTCAGCAAGGGGTTCCAGGTGTGTCACATGCCACAAACATGCCTGCCTTCCTAAAGAGGAATCTCCAGCACCAGGTCTAGAGGGCCACAAGCGAAGACCCTCCTCTTAAAGGGGGCATGGCCATTCCTTTGGCTGCAGAGAGCAAACCTGGACACCCCAGCCCCCCCCCCAGGCAGGTTGGGATCACAGTCGATATCCTATGCTGGCTGGGGAATTCTGGGAGTTGAAGTCCACAGGTAGTAAAGGGGCCACAGCTGACCACCCCGGCCATGCCCAAATCGCCTGTCTAGTGGAGTCAGAACAGAACAACAGAGTTGGAAGGGACCATTTGAGGTCTTCTAGTCCAACCCCCTGCTCAAGCAGCAGACCCTCTAGCCTTTCAGACAAATGGTTGTCCAGGATCCTCTTATCCTGAGTGATGAGTGTGCAAACCAAACGGGACTTTAACTAAACCAGCCTGCTGAGGAGCTCCACAGCTCTGTTAAGGGGAGTCCTGTTCCTACACTGCCCACCCTTAAAGGAAATGGGGGTGGGGGGAGCAACGTTCCTCCCCCAGTCCTTATAATGCTCCAGCAGGGCTTGGATTCCGGGTGGGTGGCAGGGCTGAGGCGGGTCTTCTCCCATTTCTCAGCCCAAAGGTGGAAGGGCACCCAGCACAAAAGGCTTCAACTCTTGACCTTCCGGGGAGATCAGTTTCCCAGCACAATTCAAGCAAAACACACCAGGAAGTTTCCACGGGGTCTGGTGGGCTGCACCGGTTGGCTTCTTTACTTCCCACCGCAGCCTACAAGACTGACTTTCATGCACAGACAGAAATCGATTGATTTTATCACAACAGTGTGTGAAAAAGAGGAAGTTTTCTTCGGGAACAAAATTGAAGTGTGGGGCGCCTCAAACCACCGCAGCAGATTTGGGCTCTCTGCCAGAGCTCAGCTTAAGTGCAAAGGAAGAGGAAAAGCCCCCCAATGCAGCGCAGAGCCTGGCGCTTTAACGTGCCCAAATCCCCCCCCAGGATGGAGCAGTCATAAACATCCAAAAGTCGGAACTGCGGGAGTCAAACCGCTTCAGCTGGAAAGTGCTGGAGCTAAATTTCAGTTCCAAGGAAGAGAGGCCAGGACGGAGAAATCAGCATTCACAGCCACCCTGGAGAACAGGGAACGGTGCTCAGAGAAGGCTGAGGTGGGAAAGGCGGCCACCCCGTAAGAGCCAGCAGCCCCAGGGAGGGTCGTCCTTCCTCTTCCTCCTGGAGGCCTCGGGGGGGGGGGGGCACCAATTCCAGAAACAGACGCAGAAGCTTCTCCCCCAGGCCTTTGGTTTGAGTCGGCTTCTGGGTCCTGTGCGTTCGTTTTCGCTCTTATCTAGTTGTTGCCTAGCTTTTGCCATCTTTGTTTCGATGGCCCCGTGGGTTTTTCTCCGTGAAGTGCCCAGCGTCACTGAGACCTGAGCAGTGAAAGAAAAAGTTTAAAAAGCCGTGCTTTAAAGTTCAGTTCTCCAGAAGGGGAGAAGCTCCTTGGACCAGAAGCGAAATGTCTTCAAGGAAAAACGTCCGGCTGCCCCCTGGGAAAAGCACCTTTGGGGCAACCCTGAGCTGGGCAGCTAAGAGTCTCCACAGGCAGCTCAAACGATGCTCCGCCTGGCGCAGGCCTAGGGGACCCCCCCCTCCCGGTCACCCGCTCCCTGCTCCTCCTAAGAAAGAGCTGCCTGGGGGGGGGGGTCGTGCACGGCTCAGCCTTCTTCACCCAGCAGCTCCACCCCCCTCCCCCGAATGTGCAGGAAGCCCTTGTGCCGATTGCTGCTGCTGCTGCTCGCTCAGAGGGCAGAGAGCGGAGGCTCAGCGCAGCATGAACTGAACCTGGTGCCTGGCTGAGCAAATTCTTCAGGCCTCTTATTATGCCGATTCTGCCGCTGGCCCAAAGCTGGAACTTCGCTTGCGGACCTGTATGGTAGAAGCAGCAGCGAACACCCCGGACGTGCTCAGCTCTGCAGACCTGATCCCCGTAGATGAAGAGGCTGATCAACAGCGAACGTGCGCGTGCATAACTCCAGTGAATGAACATTCCCCAGAATCCGAAGCAAAGCCAGACTCCACCTCTGGGAAACAGGAGGCGCATGAAGACTCCAAGGGGCCAAAAGGTTTGCTTCGCACAGTGTCGCCTGCTCTCATTCGGAGGACACCGAGGGAAGGAGCTCAGGGGCCTCCAATCCTGCCCCATTCAAAACTCAGCGGGCTCAGATGCATCGGCTGCCTGGCAAGCACTTTTACTGACTTATTAGATTGATACACCGCCCACCTCCCTACCCAAAGCGACTCTGGGCGGCTTCTAGGATGAAGAACATCTGGAAGTAGACCGGCTTTATCCACAGCCCTTCCTTTGTTGCTAGCGATGGGCCGTTTAGCCAGTCCAATGAAAAAGGACAAGCTGCCCACGATCATGGCATCATGGCACGGCCCTGGGGCTTCCTGGATGGCTCAATGGAGGCGACAGAAAGCTTTCCAATGAACCTCCTGCGGCTCAGCTCTGCACTGGTCCAGAGAGGCTCCCTCAAAACGGATGGGGAGCCAAGAGGTTTGCAAGTTGGGGCTGTTTTCTAGACAGCCCCAACTTGATCCCCAAGGGCTGAGCTTGCATTTCTCGGGAGCCCTGCTTGCCTTCTGTGCTCCTCCGCCTTTTCCACGCCCTTCCCGTCACCCGACGCGCTTGCCAGACGGGGGAACAAAAGCCACGTCTCCAGGACTCGTAGGAACTCAGCCGGAGAGCCGCTGCACAGACAACCCTGCAGCAAAACCATCTCCAGACTCGCGTCTGCTTTTCTCTCCAAAGTGTGAGAGAAAGTTGATCCATGAGTAGATTCAGACAACAAGGCACACCAACACAAAAGTGGTGCTGGGACAAAGGAGTCCCACCCGCCCCTTTCGGGCTCTAGGGGGCTGCCCAAAGCCCCTTCGGCACCAGCACAGATTCCCACCACTGATCTGCAAAGACCGGCCACGAATCCATCGCCCAGAAGACCTTCTTCCGGCAGGTGAGGGCGCTTGCTTGCGGCTCTGAAAGCCGCCCCTGCCCCAACAACAACAACCCCCCCTTTTTTTCTGGCTGTAATAACCATGGAAATGAGGAGGAAGGTGTCCTCCTCCTCCAAGGGATCCTTCAGGCTCCTCCTCACACTCCACGCTCCAGAAAGGTGCCAAGGCAGGAGACTTACACGCACACTCGTCCTCGGGAGACTCCATCGTGGCCCCGTGTCCACAGGCTGTGGCAGCTAAAAGGAAGCACCTTGGCCTATCCCCTGCCCTTTATGGCTTTTCGGCCCATCCTCCCTTTAATTAAACGCTCCCTCCCTTCGCCCCAGTCCATTGGCTGGGAAAGTTCTCCACACTTCTGGCTCTGAGGCACAAGCACTTTCCAGTTACTCCCAGAGGACCAAACGCTCCCAATTCCAGAATGTGTTTCCAGAATGTGACCAACATTTCCAGACTGAGTTTCAACCACCAAGAATGCAACGGCAGCCCTCCTTCCAGATGGGTGTGTGTGTGTATCCACACATCCATCTCCTCCTCTCTCTGAGACATCCGTGCAGCCTACCGGTGCAAAGGGATTTTGCCTTCCGGGTGTGGCTCTCGTGGCCCACTGAGCAGTTAATACTCAGAGTTAGTGTCGCATCTAAACTTTACCCCATAAAACACAACGCTCTTTACTGCAAAAAGCACAACAGTGAAATATGCATGGAAGCCTTGATTGGCAAATCTTACAATAATCCACAAAGCCTTTGGGCATCATTGCACAACAGGGAGATAAAATGTTTTCCCCCCTTGGGATGGCAGTGGCTGAATCGTCACTACTAATTTATTTATTCATTCATTCATCCATCATATTTACATGGCTGTCGAATGATGCTGGCAATCAAGTGACTCTGGTGGTTTTATTACAAATTCTCCTGTCCTCTTTATAACGCGCCGGTGAATCTGCTTCACTCCACAATTAAAAATCCCTTTGACGAGCCTCAAGTGAGCGGACTCCTGAGTGACCCTGATCGAGGAAGAAGGAAGAGTGGCAGAGCCACGGCGATCTTGCTGGCCACTGCTATTAACCCTGGCCTGCTGCAAAACTTCTGAGACGATATGTGCACTCACAGCAAAATAGCAAGCAGTACTTGGTCACGAAAGGGTTAAGCTGTTGTGTCTAAAGGCCAGACCTCCTTTGCATTCAGATCGATTCCTGGTAACTTTTCAGAAAGAACAGAAGAACGGAGTTGGAAGGGACCTTGGAGGTCTTCTAGTCCAGCCCCATCTGCTCAAGCAAGAGACCCTCTCCCATTCCAGGCAGGCGGCTGTCCCGTCTCTTCTTAAAGACCTCCCGTGATGGAGCCCCCACAACTTCTGAAGGCCAGTTGTCCCGCTGATTGTCCTTACGATCAAGACATTTCTCTTCAGTTTCTCTCCTTGAAAAGCTTCTATCCGTTGCTTCTGGTCCTGCCTTCAGGCGCTCTGGAGCAGGGGTCGCCAACCTTTCGGAGCTCAGGGACCACCAAACTCATAATTTTAAATCCCACAGACCAGAGACCCTGGGAAAACCCCAAAAATAGTCTGCAGGAAAATTCCCCACCCCGCTTTCGATTGATCCGATCGATCGTTCTTTATTTGGGATGGCAGGATCCTGTCTCCAGCTCCATTCTCAGGGGGAGAGAGAGAGGGAGGGAGGAGAGAGGGAGGGAGGAGGAAAGAGAGAGAGAGAGAGCTGGTGGAACCTCTTCTTCTTTGTGGTAGCGCCTCAAATACTGTAATGCTGTGGTCATGTCTCTGCTAGTCCTTCTTTTCATTCAACTTTCTCTTAAAGTGACCATACACGGGCCACAAAATTCTACCCAGCTTGTCCTAGCTCACACGCCTCCTTGACCTTGACCAGTGTGCATATAGTTTTACACCCAGTAGGGGAGAGTTTGCCACCCCCTGCCTGCCTGGCCTGTGGCAAGGGTGGGCTTTAGAGATATCAAAAGAGCTGCTGCCCTTGAGCCCATTAGTCATTTCCCATGGCCTGCACAGAATTGCTCATGCACATTAGCATGGCTGGCTGGGGAATTCTGGGAGTTGAAGTCCACCAGTCTTAAAGTTGCCAAGGCTGAGAAATACTGAGCTAAATAGACTTGTGCCAAAAAGAGAAAGGAAAGCTGTTCTTGTTACAGGAGAAGTATGTAAAATATGAAAGACAAGACCAAGAGGAGTCCGCTTTTTCCCACCATGCTCACCACTGCAGTCTTTGGGATACTCCAGAGAACCTTATGGACATTTGTTCTAGGCTGTTCTTTGAAAAAAGGGACTATGTCTGAATTCCTGTCCACTTGTGTCCCATGACTATGAAAGCACTGAATAGCAGGCAGACACCACTGTAGTTCAGCAACGAGTGGTGGAGGATTTGAGGTTGGAATAGCGCTGGGGAAACAAAAGAAGGAATCCTTCAGTACATGCCAGGGAGTGAATTCTCCCCAAACCAAGAAAATTTCCAACAGGTGCAAATTGGGCTTACAGAAAAATATGACTCGACTCTGAGCCGTCAGATCCGAAGACAAAGGAAGCCGGATCCCTACAGGAGGTTCGACATGTCAAGTCTTCCTGGACCAAGACCCAAAGCACCGGAATTCAAAAACCTATGGGAGACGTTGAGACAGAAAGAAGTGGAGGAGAACCACAAGAATGCCGGACCAAGTCCCCCTCTGACTGAAGGGAAATAATTTGCTATTTATTCCATTTATAGGCCCTCCGCCTCACTATCTGGAGTGAGTTGAGCCACTTGGGGAACACACATCCAGCCAGTGTAGCTCAGTCCTGGAAGATGCACTGTTGCCCTCTAGGGCAAAGTGGGACAAAATACCCTCGCCAAATTGCGACTGTGGGGCCGAAAAGCAAACTACCCAACATTATAGTGTCAGAGGCTGGACTGGAGACTTTGCTGATTTCCTGGCTAGGACAAACGAAGCAGAAAATTGTATCTGGAATCTAGACGTGTGTTTATGCTATTTAGACTTCCTACTTCATGTTTTGTCTCTTTACCCTTTTGACTGAAATGTGGTGTGAATGTTCCATCTGTGTCCTTACTTGTTTTCTTATGGACTGAAGTATCTAGAGGCCGCTCTGTATTTGCTGATCTCTTAGCAGGATGCGATCCAGGAAGCCGAAGAGTCAGGCAAGCAATCAAAGTGATCCGGATCCAGATCCTCAGAAGGGAGCCCTTGTGACCAAGCCCCCCCGATTCTCACTTCAAAGGGGGCCAGTGAGGGTCAGCCTTGCCTCCCCGGCCTTGGAAGGCATAGCAAAGGCAGTGCTGCCCTGAGTAAGGGGACCCAGAGAGGAGCCCTCGGAGCAGACCTCACTTTCCGAAAACAGCTGCCTTCATTGTGGAACAATGCAGAGCCGGCCGTGGCCTTCATCCTCCAGGAGGCCAATACTGAGATCCTAAATCAAAAGACAGCATTCTACCCTTTGGCTGCCTGGGTGACAGGAATCCATTCATTTAAAATATGCATTTATTTGGCTGAATTATTTGCCCAAAAGTGTTACTTTTTGGCATAAATCAGGGGTCTCCAACCTTGGCAATTTTAGGACCTGTGGACTTCAACTCCCAGAATGCCCTAGCTGTGCTGGCTGGGGAATTCTGGGAGTTGAAGTCCACAAGTCTAAACGTTGGACACTCACGCCTTTATTATTTCAATAGATTACGCAAGGCTGCAAACATACTTCTTTGTCTTCCTATTTTCCCTACAGCAACCCCATCTCTGTGAGGGAAATGGGCAGTGGGCAGTTCTTCAATATGTCAAATAAATAAACCCTGTGAAGTGGGTTGGACTGAGAGAGGAGGACTGGCCCAAAGTCACCAGCTGGCTTTAATGCCTGAGGCAGGACTACAACTCTCTGATTTCTAGCTGGTGCCTTCACCCCGGGACCAAAACCTCAGTTTGTGTACCTGCAGTGAAGAACGAACCCTCTTTCCAGTCGTCTCCTCCCAGCAACGCAGAAAAGCAGGGAGAAGATCAAACCAAAGTCCACAATTGTGAAGAGGTCTGGAAAGACCACCCCGGAGACTTGGAACTAATCAAAGCAGTGGGATCTGTTTTCTGTCTTGTCCCTAATTGTGGGGAGGAGCAGATATTTAATCCCCATAGACCAGAAAAGTGCAGCTCCTGACAGATTCCCTTCTGCTCTGGGGTGTCTCAGGTCACCCCACCAGAAGGCAGGACAAGAAGCAACGGGTGGAAACTAATCAAGGCGAGAAGCAACCTAGAACTAAGGAGAAACTTCCTGACAGTGAGATCAACCAACCAGGGGAACCTCCAGAAGTTGTGGGTGCTCCATCACTGGAGGTTTCCAAGAAGAGACTGGGCAGCCACCTGTTTGAAAGGGTATAGGATCTCCTGCTTCAGCAGGAGACCTCAAAGGTCCCTTCCAGCTCTATTCTATTCTGAAATATTCTGAGACTTGAAGGACTTTTTAAAAGCAGGCGCAGAGGCCTTTTCAAACCAGAGCCAACCGCTTGCAAAGCCTATTTGTCTGCTAACTGCCCTTCCCACCCTGGCTGGTAGCAGCCAGCAGGTCAAACTCCCCTTATCAGCCTGCCTTGTTTGATTAGTCAGCCATAACCAACACTTTTTCACAAGCTCGGATAAACGCAAGAGCTGAGCATGCCCACAGCCACCAAGCGTACACCCAGCAGTTAAGATCTTGCCACTGGCTGGAAGTATAATCAGATAAGTATAACCTTACCAGGGAAAAAAACACCAACATGGAATGAGCCAGAAGACTGACAAAACATGTTTGTATCAAGAGCCAGAGGGGTGTGTGTGTGTGTGTGTGTGTGTGTGTGTGTGTGTGTGTGTGTGTGTAGGAAGTTGGAACTCCACCTAGCCTATCAGAATGGGGAAAGCATTAAGGCAAAGTCAAGAGACATGGTGCATGGAAAAAACCTCACAAATTCCAACGCCACCCCTGCAGTGTTTAGCAAAGGGTTTTCTTTGCTTTCCAAACTTGGCAACTTTTAAGACTTGTGGACTTCAATTCCCAGAATTCCCCAGCCAATGGATGCGGATGTTGGCTGGGGAATTCTGGGAGCTGAAGTCCTTCAAGTTGCCAAGTTTGGAGAGCCCCGCTCTGCAGGAGCCGGGTAGGACTACATGGATGTTGGGAGCAGAAAGGGGAGAGCTTGACTGACCTTCCGCACACGCTCCCCTAACGCAGAAGCCCTGCAACATTCAAGAGACCCCCCCACCCACCCTTTTATCTCTCAGGAGACCTGGTTCTGGCCCAAATGCCCATCCTGCTGACCCGGCCTCAATTAAGCCGACTGATCTTCCTCCAAACTGCTCTCTCCTCTCCGCTCAGGAGCAGAAACCGCACGTGGAGCTGACCGTGTTTGAGCTGCACTTTGGAACATGGATTCTGCCCAGAGCCAGAGCACGCCGGGTCCTCCAGGCAACATGAAAGGGTCTCTCGAAGCAATAAAGAGCCAGGAGCCTCTCTGA